GAATTTTATGGTTGTTACACTTAGGGACCAAAATGTCATATAGTAAAATTAAAGGGATGAATTTAGAAGTACCTTAACATCGGGATGTTACATAACTTCTATAAGAGTTGCTGAAAGATCTAAGCATCGTAAGATAATTGACATTTGTTCCTTATGACTTGTATCAGCAGTACAATCAAGTATTATTGAAAAGTATTTAACTTTTTTATTTTTTAATAATTTTACTTTGAACTTGTTCTGCTAATAAACTAATAAGTTCATTTTGAATACTGTGTCCAAGATAATTATTATGAATTTCCTTGTCCTTAATTCACCTAATATGTTCTTGCATAATAAGATCAAATTCCGCAATCATTTCAATTATAGTTAAAAAATTACAATTATTTTCTTCATAAATCTTTTCATTTGTTCCACGCAACGCTAAATTATTTTTTCCTAAAGTTTTTATTACAACGATGATTTTTAACAACACATTTTCCAATGTTCTTTTTCTTTATTTATTTGTTCTTGTGTTTGCTTGTCAATTGTTTTATTATTTGCTAATATAGCTTGTAAGTCAATCCATGAACCCATATTAAGAATGTGTCTCTTACTGGCTTCATGTCTTTTTAGTATACTAGAAATATTATTCCAATCATTGTTACCTTTATGTGCCAATTAACATGTAGATATATTCACATTAAATAATTTACAACAAAAAAATCTATTGAATAAACCAACAATGTTCGTTCGTATTTTTCTCCATTTGGTATTTTTTGCATATAAATAGATGTACTAAAGCTTCTTAAATGTTGATTTTTGGAAATTTAAATCATAAATCTTAATAGGAAATTTTTCCACGATTAAATCTCTTAAATTAGTATTAATAGTATTTCATCTACTTGGATCATATATGTTTAAAGGCATGTTATCATTTTTAATATTAGTTTGTTCGTTATCATTTTTAGTATTAGTTTGTTCGTTATCATTTTCACTATTAGTTTGTTCGTTATCAATTTCAATATTAGTTTGTTCATTATCATTTTCGATATTAGTTTGTTCATGATCATTGTTATCAACATTAGCTTGTTCTTGATCATTATCAACATTAGTTTGTTCTTGTTCATTATCAACATTTTTGTTTGTAGTTAAATATTTTAAAAACGACCCTTTTGTTTACCTATAAAAGCTTCTTGTTCCATTTTCTGTTTCCTTTTTGGAGCACATGATTCGTATTTTCTCTTTGACATGATTATTAATTATTTTATTAATAATAACAATGGGTCAATGAACAATCACCAAGACAACTAGTATAAGTGTAGAAGATATGGATTAGGATTATACCGCCCCCGAGATAATGGAAAAGCTCAAATCTGGAAAACTGAAAACTCAAATTTCGTTCCAGCTTGATTCACGTCTGTAGTAATCGATAAACAATGAAAAAATGGAATCTGGAATCAAAAATATAATTGAAAAGATTAACCCTAATCGATTATTAACCCTAACTAGATAATCAGTTAATGAAAAAAAATCAAAACTGAAAAGTGAAAACACAAACATATTACCGTTTCAGTGTCCAGTGACAGCCTTGAATCATCAATGATTTTTGAACAATGGAGAAACTGAGAATGAAGAAGGAAGAAGAAGCACCGAAGAACAAAAGGTATTTCAGCGGTTCAAGCTTTTAGTGTGGAAGAATCTAGATTAGAGAAGCCTAGAATCGAGAATCAGAGTTCGAGAATGGAGAAGAAGAAGAACAGAAGTGTAATCGTACGAGAATGGAGAAGAAGAACAAAAGAGTAATCGTCGGTTGTAATTGAAAGAATCGATACTCTTTTGATTGTTGGGGAATCATGCGCGTGAACTGTGAACGTGTGAAGTTGGATTGTTGGAATTAAGTGGGGGCCCTAAGCCCTACCTTTACGCATTTGTACATATGGCCGACCCTGATTGTGATTGTGGTTTTAACACGTGGTGGAAAAGGCGGTGTGGGCGTGTAATCTGCATAGACAAAGATAGATAGATATGGGTTAAGGTTTGGCAAATATTTTATTGTGTTCTCGTCATGGGTACATAAGGTTATATAAAATACCTACCACTAACCACTAATGTGGTGGATGTCACCTCATTACCATAAAGAACCACTAAAATGTTGGCATACCTATCACTATATCCCTCTTTTTTTTTAAATACAAAATAGATGTTTTTTAATTACTTAAAATGTGTAGAGAGATAAAGAGAGAAATAAGATAATGGGTTGTGGTGGTTAGTGCTCCCCACCACAAATGACCATGAAACTTTACAACCACTAGCCATAACAAACACCCCGGGTGGTGTTAACATTCGCGGTTTGTGGGTTTGTGGCCAGCTAGACCACAAGGAGGTTCGTTGCAAGTATACCAGATGGTCTAATATAACAAAACAAGAGCTAATGTCATAAAAACCCTCAATTTTTCAGGGTTTTGTCGGTTTTACCCAAAGTTGGATTTTCTGTCCGTTTTTACCCTCACATTTTCCAAAAAATGTTCGGTTTTACCCTTTTACCGGTGAAAACAAGTTTTCTAGGTTACCATTATATTAACTTTGCAAAAAACCCTTAAATTTACAGTTTTTTATGTTTTTACCCTTAAGTTTATAACTTTTTTACACTTTTACCCTAAGTATTTTTTTCATAATATACGTATTCATGCAAAAAAATCGTGTTTATATACGAAAAAAATGTTTAATTAAATGTTGTATTTATATTTTTTTAATATTATATATAAACATGTTTATGATTGAACAAGTTTTGTTATTTATATGTATATTTTTAAATACATAAAAGTATGTATTTGTAGTTCTAAAAACATATTAATTTGTTTTTTATTACATTTTAAACGGTTTATCCAGGGAAAAAAGACCTATATATATATATATATATATATATATATATATATATATATATACACACACACACACATAAAGATATAACATTTAAAAAATGTAAATACAATATTTAATTAAACTTTTTTTGTATATAAATACGATTTTTCTGCATGAATACGTATAATATAAAAAAAATACTTAGGGTAAAAGTATAAAAAAATTATAAAATTAAGGGTAAAAACGTAAAAATACTGTAAACTTAAGGGTTTTTTTTGCGAAGATAAAATAATGTTAACCTGAAAAACCTGTTATCACCGGTAAAAGGGTAAAACCGAACATTTTTTGGAAAATGTAAGGGTAAACACGGACATAAAATTCAACTTTTGGCAAAACCGACAAAACTCTAAAAACTTAAGGATTTTTATGACATTAACCCACAAAACAAAGATATTATGGAGAAAAACGCAAACATATAACAATTTATTAATTTTAATAATGTTTACAGTTTGAAATTCTTATTCAACAAATAATAAAAAACTATTTTTGAAAATAAACCAAATAAATTATTTAGTCAAATATAACAATGTTTAGATTTAGATTTTTAAAATATGATTAACGTGCTTAAAAAAAAAGAGAAATCAAATAAAAAATAACACGTCACAGTGGTAAAATATTATAACACAATATAAAATTATCAGGTTGGTAAGAATAAATGGTTCAAAAATATTAAAAAAATATAAATATTTATACTTAAATGATATTAACCTCGATAGAAACTTGTTAAAATAATAACAAATTATTAGATAACTTCCCATTCAACATTTTTAATTTTTTTTTATGGTCATCAATCATCATTTTACATACAAACACCACATTTATCGTCCCTGGACATAAAGTGACTTATAACTTACATGATGTGCACCTTAAACAACCTTAAATTTTATGTAGAACACAAACAATATTTGATTATATTATAGGGATAATGACTTATAGGGTAAGTTATTTTTTGAAATGTACACATTTAGTCCTTATTAATTTTTTTTATAAATTAAACCCTTATACTTTATTAATATGTACACATTAGGTCATTTTGACCGGATTCTATAGGTTTTACTGATGTGGAAGCATACGTGACACTAAAAACAACTGCATAACATTTAATTAGCTTAGTCACTCCTTATAAACGAATGTTAACATCCAAAATCAGGAGGAATCACCTTCAAAGTCGAACACATAGTAGATAAGAGAAGTGGGGAATTCGTAGAAGAAAAAAGAAGATGTCGAGTGGCTCAAGAATCTCCACAGGTTCAAGCAATCACAAAGTAGATAAGGAAGTCCTCTGTGATTGTGAACTCCCTTCAAGAATTCGTACCTCCAAGACCAAAGATAACACTGGAAAGAAATTCCGAGTGTGCCCTAACTCATTGGTAAATACCTAAATTGATTTTATTTGTCAAATCGCATCAATTTTCTTCTTCTTACCTTCTATGTTGTTGATTTTATTACTACAGAAACCAGGGAAAAAGTGTAAATTTTGGGAATGGATTGATGAAGAACCTGAGAATATGAAGCCCATTGCAGAAGATACTCTTTCAGATGTTGCAGATTATCTTATACAAGTTTTAGAGGATGTGACATCTGTTAGAGAAGAAGTGAAATAGTTGAAGGTTATGATTTGTGTACTGATTCTGCTGGTCATTGTTAAGGTTATGTTTTGGGGTTGAAGATATGCTTCTGGAGGTTTTAGGGGATTTTGATGTAATAGACTTGTTGTGTAATTCTTGTTTATGTAATGGATGTTGATGTACTTTATGTTTATGTAATGGTAAAGTTTATTGCTATTATGTATGGATGTTGATGTAATTAAGTCAGTCAAATGGAGGTAAAACCAAGACAAATTACAGGAAATATTTTTTTTATAGACAATTGGATGTAAAGACAAATAAAAGTGGCTGACAAAAGGCATCAAGCCATATAATAATTACAAAAGATAAGCCCACCAGGAGGGGTAATACAGTAATTTAGTTCAAAATATTCGACAAGTACATCAAAAGTAAACAACTAGTAGTGGTAATATAGTAATTAAGTTCAAAAGATTACCCCACAGTACATCAAAATATATATCACATGCATTACCCCACTACACCAAAACCTAATTACTTTAAGGTCATAGGTTTGTCTTGGCTGCATCCAGTTCCATCCTTGAGTTTAACATTTTTCTGAAGACCAATTTCTGTGATTCTTTCTGAAAACTTTCTCACCCTACCAGCATCATTCAAAGGAACCTTCTTCATAGGACTTCTCTTCACAGGAGCCTTCTTCACAGGAGTTCTCTTGACAGGAGCTGGAGTTGATTGACTTGGACCTGCTGTGCTTGAAGTTGGAGTTGATTGACTTGGACCTGCTGTGCTTGGAGCTGGAGTTGGCTTACTTGGGCATGTGGCTTTGTTGTGGCCAGTTTGGTGGCAAATGGTACATCTTAGAGGAATGCTTGCCCTTGACACAGTATGCCTTGTATTCCCACTTAGCTCTCTTTCTGCCTGATCTCTTTTCCTTTTGACACACGGCATGCTAGGTAACCTCCTCTTTAATGGAGGAAAAATAGTATGAAGTCCTTCAACATGTGGCCATTCAGAACTGTCATTGAGTGGGTGGATGTTATACTCATAGCTACTAAGGAAAGAGGCTTTAGTATAGGAGTTTGATACAAAAGCCTCCACATCTAGGTTCAATGATGAAATTGCTGATATGGCATGTACACATGGAATGCCTGTGAGTTGCCAGCTTCTGCATCCACATGCCCTCTGATTCAGATCAACAACATACCTCTCATTTCCTGAGAACACTTCAAATTCTTTGTAGCCACTCACATAAGCTACCCAAAATCTGTCAATATACAAGAAGATAGTCAGTTACCATTATAAACCAATGTATAACTAATGAAATTGTTACTAACCTTTGCAAATCTTTCAAATCCTCTACCTCCCTTCTGATACTTGGGCATATGTCCAAATCCCAACTCAAACCATTTTGCTTCTGCATCCATAACCTCTGCATTGCCCAACATCTTATGTCCTCCAACATTGTTATCAATGGTTTCCTTCTAGCATCAAGTACAACAGAATTGAAACTTTCAGAAACTCCATTCTCTACTGCATCACAGTCCATACCCTCTCTAAAAAAAGCCTTTGACCAGGACTCTCCAAAACATCATTCACAAATTGTTTCCCTATCCACTTATATGTTACAATTGACCGAAGTTTGAATGCCCTAGAGCACTTGTGCTCTGTTATAAGAGACTTAATCTGAAAAGTGTGTTCCTCTTTCATCCAGGAAGCATACAATCTAAAAGGGCATGTTGGATTCTTTCCTTTACAACATCTAACTAGCAACCTAGTCTTGTCATTCTTTTCATACCACAGATCATAACCATTTGCTACATCATAGCAACTAAGAGAGTATTTAAGTTCAGCAGTAGTAGAGTATTTCATACCTAATCGAGGCTTCATCTCATTCCATTCCTGAGTATGATCATGTCTTGGGTAGATATGTCGTATTGCATTATGATCTTCTTGAACCAAGTCATCATTCTGTATTGGACAAAGTTTGTTTGAGGAATTGATCATTGAAGTTTCTTTTGAGAGATATAACTTCATCGTCCTCTACATGTTTAGCTTTCAGACCATCTTCTAAAATGGAGTCAACATCATCAATAGAAACCAAATCTTCATCTTCAAGGTCTGCTTCTTCCTCTTGAATCCAATCAAACAAAGGTTCATGATAATGATCCACATACACATTCAATCTCTTCTTTTCATTGATATCTTCAAGAAACTCGTTAAAATCACAGTCATTCTGAATAGCATGTAATCCCTCCGACAACCTCACTTCATGTGGACAAAATACACATCTCTGCGTCTTCCGTTAGTAAGTTTTTCAAGAAAGGGGATGAAATCAGGGAAGTTCATCTTGTTCACAACCGTGTATGGTACAGAGGCTTTTACTCCATTAAAATACATCAATGGGGTAGGTATGAACACCCCATTATAGTGTACATCAACGATTGTATCTGCATCTTCTGCCATTGTTGATGGTGATTGTGAGTCAAGAAGTTTGAGGGATTATCGGCTGAGTGAATGGAGGAATGGCTGATTAAATGAGCCCTAACTGTCGTTTCAATGTGGTGTAATTTAACAATATCCACGTAAGGTGACATGTGGATGCCACCTGGTTATTTCATTTCAAGAAAATAAAATAAAATTCGTATATGACCGGTAAACCGGCTATAGCCGGTCAAAAGGATTGCATAATTACAAAAAATCGGGTATAAGGGTTTAATTTACAAAAAAAAGGACTAAATGTGTACATTTCAAAAAGTAACTTACCCCTATCAAATCATTATCCCTTATATTATATAAAGATTAATTTTTGTTACAAAAATCATACAAATTATGTACTTTTTACCCTACCTATCAAATATTGCTTACCGGATATATATATTATATATAGATATAGATATATATATATATATTATATATATATATATATATATATAGGGTTGAGATCGGTTGAGAACTCAAAGTTTCCCGAGAACCCGAGAACTAAAAGTGGAGCGTTGGATCAAAAGTAATTCGTTAAGGACATGATCGTCATCTTACCAATCTCATTTAATGTTTAATTTTTAGTGTTATTTAATATATTAATATAAATGTCTAAAAATTAACAAAATAACTCAAAATTTCGGATTTATTTTTTTAAAAAAAAAATTTCGATTTTTTTAAAAAATGGAGATTTTTTAATTTTTTTCAAAAAACATGAATTTTTCAAAAAAAATGACAAAAAATATTTTTTTTAAAAACTGCATCTTTTTTTTTAAAAAAAAACTGCATTTTTTTTTCCAAAAAAAACTGCATTTTTTTTTAAAAAAAAAACTGTATTTTTATCAAAAAAACTGCATTTTTTTTTTCAGAAAAAACTGCATTTTTTTCAAAAAAAAAACAAAAAAACTGCAATTTTTATAAAAAATTACATTTTTTTCAAAACTGCATTTTTTTAACAAAAAAATCAACGTTTTAGGTGCATATATGCATATTTTTTCAAATGCATATATGCATATTTCTTATACTATAATATTCGTAAGTAAATTATAAAAAAATCTCATTTTTATTAATCAATCTATAAATATAATACAAGTATTTTATTCGATACAAAATAAAATATAAAAAAACTACAAAGATTCATAGTGTTATCATTTCTTCATATCAAGATTTCCATATTTTCTTCAATTTATCACTTTTCACCTCTTCAATATCTTCAACAAATTCTTCAAAACCTACAAGAAAATTTAAAAAAAAATTGATTAATGCAAGAACACTCAGAAAAATGCACAAGTATATATCATGTAAGATTCACATGCGATTATATCATGTAAGATTCAAATGCGATTATATAATGTGATATTCACATGTGATTGTATCTTTTAAGATTCAAATGTGAAATTCACAAGAAAATTAAAAAAAAAATTAACAAAGACCACTCACATAAAATGCATGTGTGCATATTGACGTAATTCATATGTGATTCACTAGTGATTTACATGTGAATCACATGTAATTCATATGTTATTCACTTGTGATTTACATGTGAATCACATGTAATTGATATGTGATTCACTTGTGATTTACATGTGATTAATATGTGAATTACGTGTAATTTATATGTGAATCATATATGAATTACATGTGATTTACATGTGAATCACATGTAAGTCATATGTGAATTAGATATTATATACATGTAAATCACATGTAATTCATATGTGATTTACTAGTGATTTACATGTGAATCACATGTAATTCATATGTGATTCACTTGTGATTTACATGTGAATCACAAGTGAATCATATGTGAATTACATGTAATTCATATGTGAATTACATGTAATTCATATGTGAATTACATGTTAATTACATGTAATTCATATGTGAATCACACATAATTCATATGTGAATTACATGTGATTTACATATGAATTATGTGTGAATTACATGTGATTTACATGTGAATCACATGTAATTCTTATGTGATTTACATGTGAATCACATGTAATTCATAATTACATGTGAATCACATGTAATTTATATGTGATTTACTTGTGATTTACATGTGAATCACATGTAATTCACATATGAATGACATGTGATTTACTTATAACCGTCACACCATGATTCAGACAAATACAAAAATTCAAGAAAATTCGAACATGAACCATTATCAATTATGATTGACCTGATAGAAGAGTTGTTGGATGACACTTTGAATCATATCCACATGGAGATCCTTGTTCTTCTTCCGAGTCTTGTTCTTCCATTTTTACAGTTGAGTTCTCATGCATATATCATTATATATTGCACTGCTTCCCGTGAATGCAATCTGTAAGACATGCTTCCTTCCATGCATCTCCAAAGGCCTGTTATGTAACATACATGAAAATGAAAAGAATCCCCTTAATGACTTCATCAATACACTCAAGAAAGACTATATATGTATATTCACCTTTGTGTCATTAGAAACTCCATCTCCAACAGCACCAAAGCTATCAACATTCGTAAGAACCTTAACACCATGTTCATCACCTGACCATGATGGCAAGTCAGAAGCATCTTCTATTTTCAAACTTTTATCCTCAAGCATGTCCAAGGAGTCAAAAAAATTGCTTTCTGCATACTCACAAACCAACAATAGAGACAGAGAAAGAAAAGAAATAAATACAAGAGTGCTCATGATTTTGTTGTTGTTTGTTTAGATTAAATCATGTTTTGAGTCACCCAAGCCTCAAAACAATCTTTCAAAGTCCTTCTATGAGAATTGGTGGTGGAAGAAATCCAAGTTCCTATTTGTGCAACCTACTTTGTTTTCCACCAAATATTTTGTACCTTGATGAGTGGGTTGTGAGTGGGATGATATTTTTATTGTTTAACATGCCACGTCTGTTAAGAGGCTAATTTTTACCCTTATGGGTGTTCTTAGTGATGGCTTAATGTGTTAAGTGGTCAAAAAGCCTTTGAAATCCAAAGCTGGAAAATTCAGCAAAAATTACAAGTATGTCCCTGTATTGGAAAAAATATAGAAAAATCACTAGGAATCGAATTAATGATCCGTAAACTTTCAAAGTTTCCATTTTGAATCTAGGTTATCCATTAATTTTTCCATAACCTGTTGTTGCTTCTAACTTAGGTAAAAATCACATTTTTCACCAGATGGTCAGAATTTAGCTGCATTGATAGGCAGTTTTGTAAAAATCATATAAAATTGTAAAAAAATCGTTTGGACCTTCAAAAGTATATTCTGAAAAGATAAAAGTCTGAACGTCTGGAATATGAAATAAAAATGGAAGTTATACAGGTTTCAAGTGTGCTAAAATAGCTTTAAACAGTGGCTTTTTTGGGTCCAAAACTGAGAATTTTAATTGTTAGTTGATTTAGGTGTTTTGGCTCATGATTTATAGGTTGTGAATAATGTTTTTTGATGTATAGAAATCAAATGAAGACGTGATATTTTAATTTATATGTATTAATTAAGTATACCAGATCAGATCATCCTTGGTTAGTGAAGAGCAACACCAATAATATCATCGGCTTCTTGCTTTTGAATTCAATCATTGAACACTGAACCAACATCAAAGGCTCGACTTTAGCTGTTACAGCCTTGGGAACTTCTAAAACAATTCATCAACTACAAGATCTTTCATTTATTTCTATTGCAACATTGCACTTTCATTTCTTTTCTTATTTAGGCATTATCATACTTTGAATAATCTACCAAAGTATAGCATTGTACTTTCACTTTTTTAAAAGTAAAATACTATAATAGGAAAAAATGAAAGTAAGATGCTATAATAAGCGAATTATGAAAGTACATTGTTAAAAAGAGCTTACTTGTGTCATTCTACCAAACAATGTGGTAGGTGAAGCGCGACTACGATGTGGAGACATATAAGGTGAACCACTTGTTTTGATTGTACTTTGCAATAGGAACAAAAGAGTTGAAGTTGTTGATAGCGAGTATGCTAAATCTTTGATGTTGTCTTGAGTCTTCAATAATATGGAATGCTAAATCTTTCCTAGAGCTGAAATTTCCATATCCAAAACCATGCACAACTTTATTTGTAACTAAAGAGGAAAATTTAACAATTAAAATATGCACCACATATAGAGTTTAATTAATTATATTTAGAAAATGGTTAATTTTGACATTTTAGTGACATAATTGTGGCTTACTCGAAGAAAAGATCAAGAACTCTTATTATGGTTCTAGAGATGACCAATTCCTTTTCTGTAACTTTGTTTCCAGTTTTCAATAAAACTGCAATGAACTCCACAATTTGCAACTAGATGTTTATTACTTATTGATATAAATTTGTTATTATGCCTATTTAAAAAAAACAGATAAAGGCAAAATATTTTTAAAAAAATAACCTTTAAACGATGCTTTCCTATAGGAGACTTCAATTGGCCATATGTAGTTGGCAAGATTTTTCATCTAGGGACACGTTTAACAACTTCAACAAGTCACCTGAAACATTCGAAAACATCACATTCAAGATAAGGTTATTTATTTATTTTTTTAAAAAAATAATAATAAGTTGAGAAAATAAGATCAAAAATATATTTTGTTTTTGTATTTTGTTCATTTTTGTGATTATCCCTTGATTTAAATAGTTGAATAATCAGTACAATGTTTTTGTAAAGCATGAACAAATGAAAATCATATGCAAAAAACTCACTAAGTTGAGGCAACATTGCTCCTACAATTTCCTGATTGACTTGTACACGTGACTCATATACATGATAAGCAGATGTTGAGAAAAGTTCATTGATCTAAATTATCCTTGAAATCTAAAGGTGTATCAAAGTACACTTCATCACAGATCTCCCCTTAATCTTGTGAAACACAAAACCTCAAAATGACAATTTGTTCTTCTTGTCTATATAAATTGAAATTCAAGGTCTCAAATCGAAAATCTGCTCTTAATTACATTCACTTTCTGAAATAACATCATTAGCTAACAACATCTGAATAAACTCACCGATTTCTAAATCACATCGATCTACTTTATAAACCTAACGCCAGGTTCATAGAACTTTAAAAACGAATAGGAAGATCATCCATCTCCTACGCTATAAAATCAATTAAATAAAAAAAAAGTCGATACGATTACAACTTTCTAGTACCAAAATCGGAAAGCAAACAATACACATATTTAGTGTGATGATATGATATAAATAAGAAACAAGGTACCGTATGAGGTTGAGGAGAATCAATGGAAGGCGATGAAGGTGAAGATGGAGAATTAGAGAAAAGATTTGTCAGCTTGTCACGAGTACCTAGTTGATGACATGAATAAAAAATTCAAGCTATATGTATTTAAGTGACTTCTGAGACTACTTGAAGTTGAATAATACATAATTCATATTATCTCTTGGAGTTTCAAACAAAATGAGTTATGAGTCTAGTGTTTTTCCAATTCCATTCCAGACTTTACAATTCCAATTCCAATAACTAAATCCAACCTGTCAAACCATATCTGTCAGCAACATTATACATTACCAGTTCATCCCATGTATGCCCAAAAAGACGTTCACCTCCGATGGTGAAGGTGAGGGCCCACGAAGCTAGCATGGCTGAAAATATCGTCACTCCTATTGCTGATCCTACCACATCTACACAATCAACAAAACTAGTTTTTACTTTCTAACATAAATTTCAAATCTTCTAACCATTCAATTTCCCAGTAAACATGGAAGTGTTTATGAAAATATACTTCACTTTTTACCCTAGAAAAAGCACAAAACATGTAAACTGCAACATCTGTCCCAAAGAAAGAGCTGAATTTTGATGTTTTAGATGTCAAACCTAGTTAGCATTTAGTAGCAAAACCGATTGCAGATGAAGTATAACAATTTCTTAAGATACATTTTCAAATTCAAAAATGTAAATCTGGAATAGAGACAGGTGTCCTGACAATTTTGTGCAATTGCAGACGATGAAGGTGAAGATGGAGAATTAGAGAAAAAATTTGTTAGCTTGTCACGAGTACCTAGTTGATCCACCACCGAACGATTTAGGTTTTCGATGAACACTTCTGCAATCGAAGATGAACACGACCGGAATCGATCTCTTGGATCGTGGATTATTCATCGATGATTTGGAGATGAATGACGGTGGATTTGTACTAGTTGCAGAGGTAGAGGTGGTCGATCAAGAGAGGAGGGACGGAGACGGAAGACGGTGAAGAAGATGACGTGAAAGAGGGGGGAGAGAGAGAGAGACTTAAATAAGAGGTGTAATCAGAGAATTAAGATAATTCCTAAAATGTCCTTGATTCATTTTAATTTCTTTACCCCCGTGTCTTATTTTTCTTAACTATTTACAAAAATGTCACAGATCATCTTGACCCTCTTTTATTTTGATATAACGGTCCTTGTTTGGTTTTCGGGAAACTATAGGTTCTCAAATGATCATTCCTCTATATATATATATATATATATATATATATATAATATATATATATATATATATATATATATATATATATTACGGTTACGAATATTTTATCAACAATTAATTTGAACGACATTTATTCGCATATATAGAAGTCAACATGGAATAATACATGACATAATGAATTATACATAAAATAATTGAAAAGAAAAGCATGATAACTATTATATAGACGAAATAAATCATGAGCTTATCGACTTATATATTTGATGATGTAATACAACTGAAAAGATAAGAAAAATAAAAATATTAATGTTAGTTTGAGCCAGTCAAACCCTATATGTTCACCGGCTGTTGTCAGTCACCTTTATCAATCTCTCTCACCTTTATATATATATCCCAATTCACATCCTCCTTCCTCAAATTGCAATCGCTCCCTGCGTCCAGCATGACGAGTATAACACTTCGTCGCCACGACTCCCCCGGCGGCAAGACAAAGCAAATTTCCGCCGGAGTTTTGCGATCAATTACAGCTCTATGGTTGATCTGCGCCAAACGAGCTATCATAGCTTCTCGAAAGCTAAAGGATAACTCAAAGATCTCATCAGACTCGCGCATGATTCAGTGGCCGAAGAAACTCATCGCCACCATAAGCAACAAGGATATGAAGTTTGGACGCCGGAAAAGCAGAACCGGAGAATCAGGAAACACGAAAGGTGACGGCGTTGCAGACGATGGTGTGTGGCAGAAGGAAATTCTGATGGGTGATAAATGTCAGCCGTTGGATTTCTCCGGTGTAATCTATTACGATAGAGATGGCAACCGTAGAGACGAGCTTCCCATGAGGTCTCCACGCGCTAGCCCCTTTCCTGGTTACGTGGCAAAGTTTGATTGGAGCCCACCACATGAACGGTAATTTACTAAATTACTGTTCTAGTGATTCAGAAATTCAGAAATTCAGAAATTACCGTTTTGGTATAATACGGTTTCGAATGTTGTTATATGAAAATTTGTAACTTTCAGTGACTCGTTTTCTGAGTGGTGATCTTTGGGTATTTTTGTCATTTTGTCATAGATTCGTTGGTTTGTTAGCGATTATGGGTAGTCAAAAGCAGTATAACTCATCGCTAGTTTTGATAATAAATACATGTTTTGCTTTTTAGGATTTTAAATCCAAGTTTATTCGGGGTTCAGTTGAAGAACGTCTTTTTTCAACTACTGGTTCCAAATAATAAGTTGAAAATCAAACTAAATTCAGTATTTTTATCTTATAAATACAAATTGATTTAAAATACGATGATTAAATATTCAAAAATTAAGTGGTAAAAGAACGGAAATCTTGGTTTCTAAAAAGTATAAAGTATTGGTGATAAAGATATTGGTTAAATAAAAAAGATCGAGAATTTCATGCATGGCCACAAGACTATCTGTTTAGACTCTTGAAGAACATGACTTGTTCAAATTCAAAAGAATGCAAGTGCCCAAAAGTAAATATATTGTTTATTAAAAATATATTCTAATAGGAAATATCTTATACTAATAAAGTTTTTCAAATATATCTTAAATGTAACAACTTATTCGACCAAACTTTAATTTATGTTATATTAAAAAATAGTATGTTAGTATTCTTATTAGCATTTACGTAAATAATATGCGAGTTATCAAAATGACCATCTACGAAATATTTGCATTTTGGATTATCTTAATTTTGTTTTGAAATGATAGTTTGACAAGTTATATGTATGGGTGTTTAAAATCGGATATCCGAAAAATTTAGATTTTGGTCCAAAATTAAATCAATTATAATATAGAAACCAATGTAATAGTTATGAATAAATGTCATATTTAAAAAAGCACACCTAATGTCCTAAATGGTATATTTTGTGTTAACTAAACTCTAAACTAACTTCTTCAATCTACGATATGATATGTGAGTTGCGACTTGGGACAGTTTGTTTTTTATGTGTAGAAAAAGATGGTGATTCTCATTCATTTTATCTTTAAATTATAGTTGTTATATTCCTAGGTAATATAATATATCAAAATTAAAGACAAAATCATATGTGACTGCTTCCATTTTTCATTTCTGTTACTACAAAGATGTTTAATTAAGTGTATTATGAATATATTGTAGTTATTAACATATATATACGGGGCTAAAATTACAAATAAAATATATAAACAAAATCGGATTTTGGATATCTGAAATATCCAGAATTTTACAAAACTACTATCCGAATCTGAAAAATCGAATATCTGAAATTTTGGATAATTTGAGATCAAATTTTCGGATTTTTCGGATCGAAGCTTTGAATATGGATATTTTTGAACGCCCCTAGTTACATGTGACATAAAATGTTGTGGGATACAACCTTTTAGATATTCCGTACATTTCAAAACATATTTTATTTGAAACATATATTTCAGACGCATTTATGTGACACGTAATAATCGGGAAAATGACTTATCAAGGTAATTAACTTTTCGGTATGTTCACATCTGGGTAACTATCTTTTTTTTTGTACACATCTAGGTAACAAACTTGTTGGAAGTGTTCACATATGACCATTATGACCTGCTGTAGCAGGTTAAATCCTAGATGTGAACACTTTCAACAAGTTCGTTACCTAGATGTGTACAAAAAAAGTAGTTACCCAAATATGAACAAAACAAAAAGTAAGAGTAAATTACACGAATGGTCCCTATGGTTTGGGGGAATTTGTGTTTTTGGTTCCTAACTTGTTTTTTTAACTTGGATGGTCCCTAATGTTTATTTTTGTTGCACGTTTGGTACCTGTCTTACGTAACTTATTTTTTTAACTCGTACGGTCTATTAATTTTTTTAAATATATAAAGAATAAATACATAAATAAGAAAATTAATTAAAAAAATTAATTAATAAGGGCACAATAGTCTTGTTAGGTAAGACGGAGACCAAAAACATAACAAAAATAAACAGTAGGGATCATCCGAGGAGATACAGATATGTGGGGTCTATTAATTTTTTTTAAATATATAAAAAATAAAATACATAAATAAGAAAACTAATTAAAAAATAAATTAATAAGGGCACAATAGCCTTTTTAGGTAAGACAGGGACCAAACGCGCAATAAAAATAAATAGTAGGGACGATCCGAGTTAAAAAAATAAGTTAGGGACCAAAAACACAAATTCCTCTAAACCATAGGGACCATTCATGTAATTTACTCTTACTTTTCGTTTTGTTCATATTTGGGTAACTATTTTTTTTGTACACATCTAGGTAACGAACTTGTCAAAAGTGTTCACATCTAGGATGTAACCTGCTACAGCATGTCATAATGGTCATATGTGAACACTTCCAACAAGTTTGTTACCTAAATGTATACAAAAAAAAGATAGTTACCCAGATGTGAACATACCGAAAAGTTAATTACCTTGATAAGTCATTTTCCCCGTAATAATCAGTAATCCAAAATTTTGGGCTTTAGACATTCCAAAGTTTTAAAATACATTCGTTTCGAACAACATATGTTTCGTAGTTTTAGGTTTTTCTTATTATATATGGATTAAGGATTTAACATGTTTATCTCAAACACCTTCGATACATACTTCTTTTGTTTAAAATGAGTTCATTTGATATATATATATATATATATATATATATATATAATAATATATATATATATATATATATATATATTGAGTCCCTCTTTGTACTAGAGGCTTGTAGGAGCTAATCAATAATGTGTAACGTCCCAAAATTTACAACAAAAAATTTCGTTTTCATAATAGTAAAACCATTAAGCAAGACGTGTTCATAAAGCCATAAAAGAAAATCAGAGTATGTCAATCAATCATCTCAATACACTAGAGTCAATAAAACGGAATCATGGTGTGTGCGATGCGATCATCCTTAGTTCTCCCCCTTTGATCCAGAAGTACCTGAAACATAAACTGAAAACCGTAAGCACGAAGCTTAGTAAGTTCCCCAAAATACCACATACCATACATATCTGCCAGCTCAAGGCTGTGTCGGGTTTGTTTCAACCCCGAGTCTATTTCAACTCATGTGTCGGCCCAAAGCCGTACCGGGTCTATTTCACCCCAGGGTCTATTTCACCACCGGGTCTATTTCAATTCACATGTCAGCACAAGTCTGTACCGGGTCTATTTCACCCCCGGGTCTATTTCACCCCACATACATATAGCAAACAGGCACACATGCATATAACACATACAACAAGAGTCACAAAGACTACAAACACATAACATATCCTAGTGTCCTATAGTATATTGAGCAAACTCACCTCTCGATCGATAATCAACTATTGCTGCTCTCACGGTCAGCTACACAGGTGCTACACCACACCTAGATAATTATACATGGCAAAATCTTAGTCTACTCTTCAAAACCAAGAGTTAACCAAAAGTCAACTCTGATCAAAAGTCAACGCCTAAGGTCAACGGTCAACATTTCCATCAGCTCACCCTCACGTCGTGACATGCTCTATGGTCACGTCGTGAGTATGGACTCGACCTGGCCCCACTCAGCGGGTCGAATCAGTTATAACTCATCCAACCAAATTTCTCATATCGGGACAACCTCATTTCTCACGTCGTGAGATCTCATTTCTCATGTCGTGAGATCTGTTCTGACCAACTTTGAGCATTAAGATCTTAATCATTTAATATATTCTTTGGGACCTTCTAGAGGACCTTCCTCGACCCTAAGGATTATACAAATCGTAGCTTTTCAGTCATGTATGTCCAGTGCATGACTTAGATACTAACTAGGTCAAAAGAAAGGTAATAAGATCAAGACTCATGCTTGGAGTCTAAAACCAACACCAAAACTCAGATTTAAAGCCTCATATACGAAAGATGTCTCAATGATCCATAAAGTTGCCAACTTTATGGATCCTACGCATGCTACACAACCCAACCATGCAACGAAAGCTCCAAAACCTATATCTATCATGCAAGAGGCAAAAATGTTAGAGCTTTATGACTTACAGAGGTCCAAAAGCTCAGCAAGACCAAGAGGTAGAAGCTAGATTGCCAAAATGAACCACCATAAGAGTCCTCTTCCACATCAATGGACCAAAGATCGCCAATTAAGCTCTTCAAGGTCACCAACAACGGCCAAAGGTCTCAAGGAGGTTGAATCTAGGGTTTTTAGGAGGTTAGGGAGTGAGAGAGGCTGATGATGGGCAACCCTAGCTCTCTTATTTCATTAAATACTCGAAAATTAGGGTTTTGGGTCATTAGGCCTTAGTCACTTCATGAGGCCTCATGCTCACGCCGTGAGACTTCAAGAATAAGGGTCAAATGGTCAATGGTCACTCATGTCTTAACCACTATGGCTCACGTCGTGACCCTCCTACAAAATGTGAGAATTCAATAAATTAAGTACGTCAAGGATTCGGATGCTACATAATGTCATACAATATATGACATCAAAGTACACATACTATGGTGTGGATTTGTCTTTTGATATCAACTTCTATATGGTGGGTTATTTGGTGGCTTCCAAGTTAAGCTTAGAAACAAATCAGATACATTGGAAAATATAATGTTCTCAAACAAATGTTTTATGCAGATAAATGATGATAACGACAAACAATATTTGTAAGTTTTGTTGGATTGTCTTCCAATATGGTGATGTTTTTTTGTTGTGAATACTTTAATCTAAAGTGGGAATAGGCGAGTGATTACATACATATTTATATTCCAATTGAAAACCAAATCTTTGGGAAATTCATCTCGATGGGAATTGGTCCGATGTGGAAGCAATCAAGTAGGTAAATTATTCTTTGTTATGTTGACCCCGGACACATAATAAGAAACACGAGAAAGATGTGGAAATGAATTAGCTCGATAATCATCACTCATCAATTCTTTTATGGTTGGAAAGTACTTTGTCATGATACAAA